GTGTGGAGGTAAGGAATATAACGGAAAGGTGCGGTGAACTCAAATCGGAAAGTGGCAGAGAGAGAGAGAGAGAGAGAGAAAACCAGAAAGTTGTTGCGGAAACAAGTGCTAGGAGGAAATGAATACAATGGAAAGGCAGGTCCGAAGGGAAGGGGTTACTGGAATACAAGGGGTGATACTCGTACCTTACGTTTCTCGGCCTTTTGGCTACGATCAAAGGTGGTATCTGCTGTTCTCAGCTTCTCCTCCGGCCTTGTGCCAACTGGATTAGCGAGGCGGATACTGCCCGAGGCATCCGAGGGACGGAGCAATCTGCCCCTCTTTTCTATCGGGTGGACGGTCATCGTCCGCATAAAAAAAGATGAGTACCTTACGTTGTAAATTTAAGGTCCTTGAAATGAGTCTCATCGATGTTAAGTGAGAATATTGTGGGACCCCAAGTTCCAAATCCACATTGATTCTCTTAGTTTGGGTCTTTCTTTAGTAGGATATTGGACTATTTCAAATCGGAGGCCCCATTGTGACTAGGACTGTTGAAATGTTGGCCGACTGGTGTGCAGGTTTTTCTGTACTGAATATCTATGGTTCCTAAACCTAGCTGTAAGTGTGGTGGTCGTTTGACCCACATATTGGGCTGGACAGACTTTACATGGTATGCGGTAAAACTTTACATGATATGCGGTAAAACTTTACATGATATGCGGTAAATTGCGTTTTTGATTTCACAGGTGATTTTTCCAAGAGGCTTTTGTGTTGGCTGCGGATTTTATGTACATTAGGTAGTTTTTGGTGAGGAGTTGCGAAGAAAAAGAGTCTTTTCTGTTTGGGCTTAATGGTTTGTAGGACAGAAGGTTTATGCGGTTCAAAATCATCATCATCCTGAAAGCTGACTTCCTCTTCATTAGCCCTTGTAGACTTGTTTGTCCTCCACTTCGCCCTCGTATGTCCACCAACACATCAGTCCACAGACAAAAGTTTATCCTGCCTGTAACAAACTTTGTTTTAAAAATATGAATTTATTCGATCTGTGTAGTTATGTTGACTGTACGGACGTCGAAGACTTTGAGTGACAATTTTGGTTTTACATAGATAATAATGTAAGGGGGAAAAGAGGGGGGGATGGAGTTGTCATATTTTGAGATAGGTATTGGAATTTAAGATCCTTTCGTCATATCCTCACATATCTCCCCATCCCCTTTTTAAAATTACCTCTCCCTCCCCCCTCCCCATCCCAGCAGCAGACAAAGATATCGACGAAATCACTACCTGATATAGAAACCAAATCACATAGTCTGCCTTCAAGTGCGAAACATGTAACCATTACACCACAGAAGCTATTCTCTCT